TATAGCTACTCTTTCTGTTATTTTCATCAGGTTCATTGTGCAGGATTCTTATAAAGTCGAAAATAAGACTATTTATTGGATGTTTATTGTTACACTAACAACTCGTTTTCTTTTTGTAAAACATTAAACTTAATTTTGGAGACAACCTTCGAGCATATACTACTGGACGTAGCATGCAATTACAAAAAGTGTGGCTGAGTGTGCGAGTCGCAATTGGTTGGAGCATTCATTGCCAACCAATCGCGTGCGTGCTAGAGTGAGATGTATAAAGATCTCGAACACGCAGCCACACTTTTATATGCTCGAAGGTGACAACTGATACAGACAAAGCACAAAGCAGCTATTCGAAAACGGTTAGCGATTATGGACTTGCGTTTCAGAATAGACAACGTGAAGGAACAAAATGTTTTTGGGATAACATTGCAANGCCCACCTACGAAGGCTGTCCAGGCCTACACGAGATGAGGCAGGATAAAGAGGGATAATCCCTCTCGATCCCAAATCATTGAGGCCAATTTCTAGCCATGGAATAATGGCGCGAACCAAGTCAGATATGGTTTGGTTCTCCAAAAGACCGTGTGTGCTTTCCAGTTGGATGGTTAATAATTTTTATGGCTTTTTGAAAAGCACATATGATCGAATAATCCAAATCACTTAAATTTTGTCAATCGAATACCGCTATAAAACATGAACCACAGAACAGAATTTAAGCTTCAAATATCTGTTGTGTCCTCTGATCCTCTGAAAAAAGGTTATGTTTATAAACAGAATTAACAGAAATAATAATAAATTTGTATTGTAATTTATGACCCTCAGTTTAAATAAGTAAACTTATAACTGAGCAGGTGCACTTCTTCTGAAGTGCTTTTATGATTTGTCTAAACCGTAATATGACATCACTTATGATGGATTACGAATTCAAAATGAAAACACAAAATGAAAGAATTAAAGTAGAGGATCTATTTGATTACGAGGGCTGTAAAGTCGGAAGAGGCACTTATGGACATGTTTATAAAGGACGTCGAAAAGACGGATCTGACCCCAGAGACTATGCTCTAAAACAAATCGAAGGGACTGGGCTATCTATGTCAGCTTGCCGAGAAATAGCAGTAAGTTGATATTGCAGGAAAATATCAATACGTAGGTTACCACTAGAAATAATGTATATCTTATTAGTTACAAAATGTGTGTCATATTTAATATTATTTATGTATCTCCAATGATGGCCCAAACTTTGGGATGAGTAGTTCAAACACGTGTTTTCAATTTATGAAGCAACAGCAGCAGTGCGTGTTTATGTGTATCATAATTATATATAGTTAATTTGTTGAAAGTGATAAATTCCACTAAAAATATGGTTGTATTATTTCTTAACTCTTACGATGATTATATTCAACTCATTAATCAATAATGTGCCTTTCTAGCTTTTGAGGGAACTGAAACATCCAAATGTAATTAATTTGATAAGAGTATTTTTATCCCATAACGATAGAAAGGTATGGCTTTTATTCGATTTTGCTGAGCACGATTTGTGGCATATAATAAAATTTCATCGTGCAGCCAAAGCTAATAAGAAGCCGGTGATGGTACCTAAAGGAATGGTAAAGTCACTTTTATATCAAATATTAGATGGAATTCATTATCTTCATTCAAACTGGGTATTACACAGGGATCTGAAACCAGCTAATATTTTGGTAATGGGCGAAGGACCAGAAAGAGGAAGAGTGAAAATTGCTGATATGGGTTTTGCCAGATTGTTCAATGCACCTCTTAAACCCCTGGCTGACTTGGATCCTGTTGTAGTCACGTTTTGGTATCGTGCGCCAGAATTATTACTAGGAGCAAGACATTATACAAAAGCCATAGGTATGTATGTAAGGGAGTAATTCTGCAAAAGGAGAACATCTCATGAATTTTTATTTTAGCGTGGTTGTTTGTAAATAATGGTTTTAGAGAAGTCGGAAGGAAACATTCTATAAAGAATTTCTCTAGGAGGTGTACAAATAATTATTTCTGTATAGAATCTAATTTCTATTTTACACATATTATTGAAAATGTCAGATAATATATATTTATGAAAAAAATTTATAGATACAAAAAATCACAAATAATCCCTACTTCCCTACTAATATTATAAATGTGAATGTAAGTTTGTTTGTTACGCTTTCACGCGAAAACTACTTAACCGATCATCATGAAACTTTGTACACATATTCTTGGAGGTATTAGAAGTAACATAGGATACTTTTTATTAAAAAAATTTTTTTTTACGAAATATTTTCTATATTTATTGTTTCAGGTTAGGTGTCATTTTTGTGGTTAATTCGTAATTTTAATTCTTACTCTGTTCTTCTTTAAAAATGCCTCGGAAGCGGAAATCTGGTCTATCCAAAAATTCGTCGCGGGCCCGTGCCGCCAAAGTTGCATGATTCATTTCTATTATACCCTTACCCTTGATCTCTTATACTTAATGGCTTCAATGCGAGCGAAGCCGCAGGTAAAAGCTAGTAGTAAATATAAAATATGTTAAATAAGAATTTTATATAGGGTGTCCTGAATAGGAGTTATAGATTTAACACCAGGTAGAATTCTTCATCAAAATAATTGAAAAATTTCCTATCAGAACTTGTCCAATGTATTAAGATTTAGAACCAATAACTTACGCTTGATTCAAACGTTTTTAAAACGGCAAACCACTAAAAATTGTAATGATAAAACATGTGTAAGGGGTAGTTTGCAACATGGTGTGGGTTCATTTTTATGATATAAATTTAAGGAAGCTAGTTGAAAATAAAATTTTGTCGAAATATATTTTTTTCTAATTTAACTCATGAATAGTACTAACTCGGACCTCCAGCGTCAATTACAATTTCATGTAGTTACAAAAAATATATCATGATCCTTTATAAAAAATAAATATTTCACCACTGTCTAAAGCAGAAGTGACTTCTTACTGATTTTTAAATGTGAAATTTTTTAATGATTGTTAAAATATATTGTTCCATAGAGAAATTTATTACAATTTATCGGTGCTGTTATCAAGAGAAAGCTGAGGATTTCAGTACATTATAATTTTAGTTTAATTAAACTTGATTTTTTTATTTTTTATAATTTAGATAATCTATTCTAATGGTATGGTTTCTGCTTTCTGTTTATTACGATTTTTTTGCAGACATATGGGCTATAGGTTGTATATTCGCTGAGTTGTTGACTTCTGAACCAATTTTTCATTGTCGTCAGGAGGACATTAAAACCAGCAATCCATATCATCATGATCAATTAGACAGAATATTTAATGTAATGGGTTTTCCCCACGAGAAAGATTGGGAGGATATTAAGAAAATGCCTGAGCACCCGACACTTTCAAAGGATTTTAAAAAATCAAAGTAAATTTGGAGATATGCTTCAAACACATATTTAGGAATTAATTATTCCTTTTTTCAGTTATCTCAACTGTTCTTTGGTGAAATATATGGATAGACATAAAATTAAACCAGATAGTAAAGCGTTTCATCTCCTTCAGAAACTGTTGTTAATGGATCCAAATAAAAGAATAACTTCTGAACAAGCCATGCAGGACCCGTATTTCCAAGAAGAACCTCTACCCACCTTGGATGTTTTTGCAGGTAATTTATTCATTGTACTACATATATTCAAGAATTCAGTGATTACTTCCTGCATTAAAAAAAATTATAGGATGTCCTATACCGTATCCAAAAAGAGAGTTTTTGACTGATGATGATCAAGAGGAAAAGTCTGATAATAAAAGACAAAACCAACAACAGCAACAACAACAACCTCAACAGCAACAGCAGCAGCAACAAACTCAGCAGCAACAGCAACAAGCAAATCAACAGGACAATCACAACCCTGCTAAAAGAGTTCGTTTATCGGGACCACAAGGGCATCCCGGACAGGTTAACCAACAGGTAAACAGTTTTAATTTTTAAAAATTAAATACTGTAGACAAGGCGTTTTAAAAGTTTTACAATATCTGTGCTACAAATAAAATTTCTAATTGGACAATATAATACGTGTACACCTCCTATTCTCTAATACTCACTGGACTGGGCATATTAATTGATGGTTATATACAGGGTGTAACTTTGGGTGGGGGTAATATTTATATAGAGGCTACCTTTAAAAACACGTCAATGGTTTGTTTTTTCAATTCCATGGCTATGCATTGTTGTCAAATTTCATATTTAAAGAAAAGGTTATTAGAAATAAAGTAAATTTACACAACACTTGCTGTGAGGTACTGCTCTTTGGCATGTTTCTTTTGTTGAATGGGTGTTTATCACAAGCATTTTATAGCATAACACTTGAAACTTTGTCTTCCACGGCGTTTAAAATTTCTGGTTCCTAATTTCCTACTCTTTGAATTTGGTCCTATCCAACATTAACGTATTTGCATTCAAAACTCCCATTATCTCTTAAATGTTGAACCAGTCTCACAAACATTTTCTTATTCAGTACTTATAAGTCGGGCTAATCTTATATCTTCTTTGCTTCTAAAAGTAAGCTCTAACCATATCAACTCTTTCTTGATTCATATACATGCATTTTCATATTAAACTGATGATGAAAACTGGTAACAAAGAAGGGAATCTGACCTATTACTTTTAGATTTTTCTTCAGAAAATAAAGTTAATTTTGTTTGTTTTTTATTTCTAAATAGTTGTGTTTAATGAGCATTTTTTGCTTTTTAATAAACACAATAAACTGTTGAATTTGCCAATTTTTAATAAAGAAAAATAAATGAGAGTAAATTATTGATCATTATAAATAAATATTGATTTTAAAAGAAAAAGAAGCAGAGAAAGTTAGTCATATATTCGATAGTTATTTTTAAATGTTACTGGTCATTTATGGTCACTGATTAGGCTCAGTTTTGATAAAAAGACTGCTGCCATTATTTATAACACAATACTAAATTTATTTAGGGTTTAATGATAATTACAGAATTTTCATAAGTGATTTCAAACTATTGTGACCAGTAATTTTGATTGGAACAGTAATTTTATTTTCTTCACGTTGGCAATAAAATTTCAGTAAAATTAAAACGATAAGATCAAGATTATATTAAAACGCAACATTCTGTTCACCGACTGTGATTGGTGTAATTGTTCAACCATCCAACAAATCAGCGGTCGCATTATCTCGAGCATAGGAGCAACGGTTTGTTACTATTCATTGTAAATGAATCATTAATATTGGTGACGCCAAGATTTAGGGATTTTTCGTTACCAGTACCAGTCGTGCAATGTTGGGTTGCCTAAGCTCGGAGGTCACATGGCTTGTAAACATTTATGAAGGCTGTGTATAATGTTCTCTCTTACTGTAAAATGTATTGATACTGTAATCTATCTTTTTTTTATAATATTCCTATTTCACAGCAGCAAGAATTTCACCAACAGCAAATGATGTATAATAACAGCTCCCAGCAACAACAACAAAATTTTCAACAAAGGTTTTAAGATTACATATAATTAAGATTAAAAAAATAAATAAGATATTTTATAGCAAAAATCAATCATTTACTTAATTGCCTATAACGAAATGTCATGGACATATTTTATTCTTGTAAGATTTTAGTGATAGGTTGTTATTTTGAGATTGACCTCTGAATTTGCAGGTTATTTGCTTTAAATGTATCAGACCTCAATTAAAGAAACTAGGTAGTTCTTTTTTTTATTCTAGGTTATATGAACTTGTTTCTTTTTGCCTTTAGGTGCCACTTTGACGATGACAATTAATTTTATATAATGTAGAATAAATACTCGAGTATGTGTTTAAATGCAAATGTAGAAAGGTTTTTGTTCCTATACAAGTTTTTAATTTTGTATAATAATACCTTCACTACAAAATTAAAATATATTATAGTTCAAAGCATAAACATAAAACTGAATTTATGTATTTTCTTAAACATGTTTTAGTTTTTCGATTTTGAATAAACCTCGTACTATTCTGTCTGATTTCTTACTCAACTTGTTAACTGGTTTATTGCTATATTGTTAATAATATACCGAATTTTTAATTATGAAAAGGCCAAAATAAGTATTAATAGCAACCCTTCTTGTAGCATAGTGACTTATTTACTATATTTTTAATTTATAGTTTGGCAAAATACCTACCTGAAAATGAAAGAGTAAATTTTAACAAAATTTAATTGCAATAAACTTATTGTGTATGATTATTTTAAAATATTACTTACTCGACGGCCAAAATTATAGATAGTGATTCATCGCTAGCTCTTGGACTAGTAAGGGGGATGAAGCGTGCCGGGAACGAAAATCCAATGGCGTGTCTGCGTAAAAGGCAACAAGATATAGAAAATATTGAAAAAACGTAATAAAACATAACATCTAATATTTTTTACGGTTTGCTATAACCGGCAGTTTGATCAATTTTAATTATTACAGCATTTTAAAATGTCCCAGTTGTGTTTTTTTAATTTATAAATTTATTATAGCCATGGAATTAGACCCCTCGTCTACGCTTATGCTATGACGTTTCTCAGGTCGGGCAAATCAAGTCCGTTTACACCCACTAAAAAAGCATTTCCCTATTCCCTACCAAGTGCAAAAGACAGAGATAAAATATAGATCGACGTTCAGTGTAACTCAGTCTATACACGATTATAGATTCTACCGATGTGCATGGCGAGCGGCACAAAGAAATAATATTGAACCGTATAGAAATCATTTTATATTTTATACGCATTATGGTAATAGTGTTTTTATATTATGTATTAGTCACTCTTTATAATTTCGGCCGCCGAGTTATAGTGTTATATTAAATGCTATTGTATTAATTTAATTATATGGAAAGAAACCTATATTGGCTTTACAATTTTTTAATAAATTAGTTTTAGATATTGGTTTTTTACTGATTTACGATGAGAATGGTCACTGAGAATAACATTGTTTTCAGAGCTAAATTTATTTATGTTAAAATAATTCAATATTCTTCAGAAGAAACTTCGACTGTTCTAGAGTTTCTTCTGAAGAAGGGAGCGATACATCTTTCGAAACATCAAGAAATCTAAACTAGGTGGCAATCAGTCCGGAACGGGAAATTGTTCACAGTTCAACCATTGACAACTGTCGTGGAAGTCTACAAACCAGGTTGATATGTAAATATTTTTTTCTCAAATACTGGTACTATTCAGTATTCTGTAACATGTTACATCAATTAGCGAGAACTTTAAGGTGGGTATTCATTTGTGTCAAATATGCCGCGTAACGTAACACCGAACATGTTACGTTACAGCTAGTGGCGACGGAAAATTGTTGCATGGTACGTGTAACAAATTTGACACGCGTAACTAATCTGGGACGAACCATCAGTTGTCGGTTTTTAGTCGTCGCATCAAAGGGATGCAACAGTACTTTCTGCCACATGTTGAGACGGGGTTACCCTTTCGCCGCAACGTTGTCTATTGCACATGTGATTTTGTCAATTTTTTATTCTTTTGTATATGGTCTGGGGTCAGTCTGTTTTCTGCAGTGACTAGGAAGAGGGTGTTTTTCTGTGTTTGTGCAAAATCAGTCGGGTGCATTCTGACGAAATTCTTGTACAGTTCACTTATATGTTGGAATTTTAAATCCGCCAACAAACTTGATCCACTATATATTGTCCTACTCTGATACAGTTTTGAGATCCACCATCGCAAAGATTTCCGTTTCTTATTCTTTAAAATTGTATGATGAATAAAAATATATGACGCTGCTGCTAACTGCAAATGCAGTGACAAATCAATTATTGTAGTCAGGTTCATACTGCGAGTTTTTGTTCCTGTGTCTTCTCGTAACCTTATTTTGTTACTTTACGGAATGAATGATATGACCAAAACCACACATACTTTCGCAGCGAACCGTGTCACCTTTTGCAATAAGCCCTAACATGTTTGTTGTTACGTTACGGAGCATTGCCACAAGTGGATATCCGCCTTTAGATGCGTGTAACATGAGCCGAAGATTTAAAACGATACATTTAATGAAAGCATAAATATTTAGATACAGACGTAGCTGGTGTGGGGAAGCTCTGGGGCGTCGCCCCCCTAGAAGCTTTCATAGTAAAAAAATTTAATTTAAAATTTAGTTTACAATGTTATCTACATGATTAAATAATAAATAATAAGAATAGTCTTATGAAACGTACATTAAAAACGAAACGTTAAATTTGTATAATGTGTAGTCAGTTTAACTCGATTTGCAAAATTCGTTTGCAAAGCTCTGAACACGTGGGTTCCTTGTATATGTGTAGTGTTTATAGTGGTGGTCATGGTTACCGTAGCGTAGCAGTGAAAGGCAGAGTGGGAGTAGCTCATATTTACTATACAATAGTAAACTACTATACAATACTAAACTTTACTATACGTAGTTTGTGCTATATATATCCTCTATTTAGTCCGACCGTAACCAAATAATAGCTATCCACCGCTTTTTTTTTAATAAACGTAATTTGTTCAGGTGTGGTGTAAAAATTCCTCAGGCAAGCCGTTGACTACGTACCCGACGTGACCGACAAACACAAAAGACCTAGACACCAACTTTTTGACCCTGGGTGACCACCCCAACGACATCCCCCCCTGCTCGCTAACCTTTTCTGTTTCAGAGACAGCCAGGATCAAGAAACGAAGACAACGACACACACACACACACACACACACATACACACCCCCCATACCCTCCTTACCCCTCCCCTCCCGCGCTAGCCTAAGGGCCACCTTAGCAAAGCGCATCCCAGGCTGCATAGCCGCACTACCCTACCCAACCATACCACACATAAACATGACACTACCCCCGGGGTTTACACAGACGAGCCGGCGAAGCAAGAAGAGCGCCAGAAGAAAGGGCCCTAGCCGGCGGGGCCCAGCCAGGACAAAAGGAGGTCCCACAAAGCGCCTACACCGGCCGCATTTGCGGTCGGGGTAGACGACGGATGGGGCCCACCTACAAAGGCTGTCCAGACCTACACGAGATGAGGCAGGATAAAGAGGGATAATCCCCCTCGATCCCAAATCATTGAGGCCAATTTCTAGCCATGGAATAATGGCGGTGTAAAACTTTATAACATGACATTAGCGCATCTGTAGTCGGCGGACTACATTTTTTCCTGTAAGGTTAGAAGTTAGAAGAAGTCTTTAGTACAATAATATTTCAGTCAACGCATGCAGGTTATATCAAAAGGTGAGATTTTGTTCTATATAAGATACTTAAATATTACAGAGTAATAAACTTCGAGCATATTCCCCGTGTTGTGATTGGTTCATTTAAGTTTCGCGGCACTTTTACGCTCACATTTTGACATTTGCCAGAAAAATTGAGTTCGCCATTGTTGTGTTTCATAGTGTATTCTAATGTTTTTGCGTTTTTAATGATTTCGTGCTCGTTAGTAAGATTTTTTCCAGTGAAAAAAGTCTTGAACAATGCCGAAGAAGTGTTATATTTGCAATATGTACCAAATGAAAGAAAATCAACGATCGTTCCATAAGTAAGTAACAATAATCATAGACGTAGCAATAAAACAAGCTGTTGGGGTTAAATTTAAATATTTCGTTTTGACAAAATTTAAGTGGCAAAAAGCATTAGTAAATCAGATAAATAAAAGCGTACAAAATTTAATCGATTTTTTTATATGTTACAGATCTCCGAAAAATCTTCTAATTAGAAGACAGTGGTTTAGAAGCTTAGGAATTCCATATACAGAAACAATCTATCTATCAATATCTATATATATCTATGTATGCCTGATCACTTTTGTAATAAAATGCAGGATAATATTCTTAGGATAAGGCATAAGTTAATAAAAAATATTTTATTTCATAATCAATAAATTTCTATTTGAGTAATATGGTTGTCTTTTTCATTCATAACATTCATTCGATAGGGACAACCTAAAAAATAAACAGCTTTATTAGGGACAAACTTTAACTCCAGTAATATAACCGTAACACGCAATGTAAAAATCTACATGTAATTCTATATAAAATATATATTTAAACCTGTTCTAATTTTTAGTTTTCTATTTATAAATTCACACATATGTGTTTGTGATAGGAAGGGTTAATGGACCGACACTATAATATGAATTATAATTATAAAATATGGTCAATCTTTTAGTTTCCTATATACAAATTTTATAAATAATTCTATGTAAGAGTTGATACCAAATTTTACACCGTGTCATACAGCTATTAAAATTAAAACTAGGGTATACCTACCCAAATGGAATTTAATTACTTTGTTTTGTTAAAATCTTGTGAAAATCATATTCATTAACAGCTTAAGAGTATGATGAAATGTATCATTCTTTTTGTATATAAATGAGAGTAGAATTGTGTCAGTAGATCATCTCCACCGTATTCTAGGAAGAAGTAAATGTAGAGGACTGTGAAGTTCATAAGTAATAAAATAGATTGAAGAAAAGTTAAATAATCTCATATATACCTTAAGAAATAAAACAGGCTTTCTTAGCATTCCTATTAATGGCACCATATTTTCCCGTATTACTAGTTTATTTGCGGAAAATAAAATTTACAATTATAATTACTAAACTTGTTATTTTAGTTGCAATCAGCCCCTATAAAATGATACGCCACTGCCCATGAGGGAATGTAAACACAACTTCCTCACCCCTCCCATGAACTATTTTGGCTTCAAACCACATAGGTATAAATTATGTATCTATGTCTTTTCTTGATCTGTGGTCTTTTTATCTTCTTGATAGGACGATAGGGTTTTTCGTTGTTCATGTTTCTATGTTTGCATCACTGATTTTCCTAAATTTCCGTATCCGTTTCCTCCGCCATTCTTTTTAACTTGACGTCAGAAAGGTTGTTGCATGTTCATTTCGTAGTAGTGTAAAAGGTGCGTATGTTATTAAAATATATAAGGAATATATTTTTTACATAAATTTAAATTAATCTTTATTTTTGGGTAAAGTTGCAAGACTGAAGTCCAACATTTATTGTCAGAGTAATTACTGTAATTGTGCAATGTAATGTAAAATATGACGAATTAACTGGTATCTTGTATTTACTTGCAGCAACAAAATGCAGTTACATTTTCGTGGTCAATCCAGTCACGCACTTGAGTGCGTAGGCTCCGAAACCATTGGACAAATCAAGGTAAAAGATAATGGATGTTTGTTATTAGGTTAGGAATGTAAATTTTGATTGTAGGATCATATTGCATCCCTAGAATCCTTAAAAGCATCAGAGATCAGTTTGTATGCTGCTGGTGTACCAGTCTCTGATGATGACTTGGTTTCAGAATTTGAAAACGCAGATATTGAGCTGACTGTTGGTCTTCCCGGTGGTAAAGTACATGGCTCCTTAGCTCGTGCCGGTATGTATTATTTTTATCATTTATTTACAGTATATTTTTATCACTTTCAAATATTGCAGAATATTTAATTTGAAAGCACTAGAAAAGTATTTAGTTTTTCAAATTAATGATGAAACATGCTTCAGTTGTTATCTATCATGTGGGAATAAATAATAAATTAACATCCGATAAATAATAATGATAATTAATAATCTTTTAAAATCTTAAATAGATATACATACCTATATTAATATTTTAAATGAACACTTACAATTTCAAAAGTTTTTAAATTTTATACATGTATATTGACTATTTATTTTATTTATGCAGTTCATAGAAACAACAATATAAAGTTTTTTTAAGTACAAATTGTTACATATGTCTGTTTTAAATAGAATATATAATATAATAATTACTAAAATCAACTCGGTCAATTTGTATTTGCTGGAATCACTTTGACAATTATTGCAAGTAACAGCAGATCATATGCGATTAATAACATATGATCTTCCTGAAACTTGCTAAATAAAATTGAACTGTTTGAGGTAATTTTGGAAATCCATTTCAGAATTGCTATAGAAAGTCTCATACAATTAATTGTTATATTACAATTACCTAAAATATTAGGGATTGATTGATTTAGTCTTTCCGAAGTCAATTGAACATGTAAAATAACGCCTGGCAATAAAATTAATGAGCTTCATTGACGTCCCTAAAAAGTTTTCTGATAAAGGTAAAAAATTATAATAATTTGTATATAATGTGCAGAAAATTTTTATTAATATTCATTTGGCCAACAACATATTTTAATTATTTATGTCCCCAAACAATTTTATTATATTGATGGTAAATTTCGTTTTGTTCTGTTTCAAAAGCTCTCCAAAATGCCATGTAACAATATTATTTCTCCCTTTCGCAATTGTAATATCAATGATTAATAGAAGGTGCCTGTAATAAATTAAAATTACCTGAATCACACCAAATTCCGCATTGCTGCACTGCACTGCTGGGAAATTTGTGGACCACTTGTCAACGGCTGAGATTTATTGCCCAGTGGCCCAATGCAACTGTATTTATATTTCATTTGGCCATGCTCGCTTTCTTCAACTGGACATATACATTTCTACCACCTCCACGTTTAGTTCGACCAGACATGTATATGGGTATGGCTAAATAAATATGGGAACAAGTTTTTCAAATATTTCAATACCGAGTTGCTGCGTCAGCAATCGAACGTGGTACATACTGTCATCCTTTTGGTTCTTCAATTGATATCAGAAAGACTACCAATATGCAGGCTGTTAATGATATACTCCACCAACTAACACAGTAAGAGCTCTTTGAAACCTGTGTTTGGAAACACTTTGTTTTCGTGATACAGGATATTGAAATTTAAAAAAAATATCAATTCAAATATTTATTAACCCTAGAACACTTGCTATTTTGTGCCGCATAATATTGTTGACACGTAAAATTTACGTACTAGCAAAATGCAAGTTAAAATATAGAAATATGTTAGTATTCTTTGAATACAAGACAGAAAAAAGCCAGACAAATGATTTATTAATGAAAAAAAAATAATAATAATATGATTAGGTAACATAATTAGGTATGATTTTTAAAGTACTCAATACTCGCGCAATACTGTTGACACGCCAAAATGACGTACAAATACTTACAAAATATTATGGCGACATGTGTTAAGCTTGATAAAATAATGCCGTACGACCATACGCACATGTGAAATCAAGCTGATTTCGTTCTAGATGATAAGTGCACGTCAGAGAGAGCACTGCTGGCTGGCTGGCTAGAGTGGGGGGCTGATAGATATATAGATTGAGGAAATTTATTATATTATGTTTAGAGTCAACATTTTAAATTTAACAAATTAATATTTTGAAAATGACTGGTTTTTTGAATAAAGTGAAGATTTTCTTTCCTTTACAGCAATTTTACAATCAAAATTACATAACAATTAATGTAATGCAGAAAAATGATCAATTTCATTGATTGTTGTGTAAAACTGCTATTGAAAGTAAAATTGACAGATAAGTTTATGTAATTTTCAAAATACATCAAGCATTTTTAGAGATATTTGTAATTGTGATATATTTTTTAAATTTCAACACCTTGTATCTGGAAAACTAGTTGATTCATTAAGGCTTTTGATCTAAAATGAATGATTTGCTAAATTATAACATGAACTTGGAAAACACTCTGAACAGATCTTTCAGCAGCAATATTGATCGATGCAGTGGTCGATATGTCATGTAATATTAATGCCAATATTGATATTAAATATCTGCACCCAGTTGATCATTAAATATTATTATTTATGTTATTTTTTAAATACTTATTATTTTTAGGTAAGGTAAAAGGACAAACACCAAAAGTGGAGAAGCAGGAAAAAAAGAAGAAGAAGACAGGTCGTGCCAAGAGACGCATCCAGTACAACAGGAGATTCGTCAATGTAGTGGCCTCATTTGGAAGGCGACGTGGACCAAATTCCAATTCTGCTCCAACGTCTTAGATATTTTCATTATGAATGTAATATTTTTTTCTCAAAAATATATCTAATAATCCAAAATGTTTTTTTTTTACTCGTGTTTCAAAAACTTCCTTCAACATTTGAATTTATAATATTACAAGTTAAGCCGAGAAATTTAATCAATTAATTTAAAAAATATTGTACAATTACTAAAATAAAAAAAGGTATACATAAATTCTCTTGACAATACTAAATAAATAGTAACAAAGTAATTTGGCAAACTGGAAAATTTTGTGTAGTCTAAAATTAAATTAAATGACGTAATGTAGTTGCTAGTAAGAAAAATTCAATACATAAAATTATTGTGGTGTTGAATTATTAATCGATCAAATATCAATATATTCTGCAATACTAATTATGTGATGGGCAAAATTGAGTATTTTTAAGAATCGAGTATTTGTTCCTAGGATGCTTTTAAGAATCGAATGTTTATCCGAGTGCTAAGGATTGAGTGCCAGATGGAAGATTGAATGGTGAATGAAGAATGTTACAATCGTGGTGTGGGGTGGGTATATTTTCATATTTAATATATTAAGTTTTGTGTAGAATTGTTTAAATTTGATGTTTTTTAAATATATTTTCTAAAAATTTTATTTCAATACAGGCTTACAAATTCGCTTCTCACTACAGGGATCTCGAAAATGGTAAGAGGTAGGAAGTAGCTTAAATGGTAGTAAAAGTTGGGTAATCAGAGGACCAACATTAGCCTCTAAAAAATTACAGGATTAGTTTTCGAAATATAAAAAAAAACGAAATTTTGGAAATCCATTTTTGTTTAATTTCAGCCTTGTTTGAGATGATATTGAAAAAAGATCACTTTCTTATGGCCACTTTTTGCCCTCTATCGAATGGCATAATCAATTTTTATATGTAACATTTCGTCTCCTCAGGACCATCATCAACTTAATTTTTTTAAATACGACCCTAGAAATTTTATTACATTTTCTGCAAGCCTTCATGACCCCCAATACTTACTGCCTCAGCCCGAACTAGATTCAGACGTTTTGTCTCGAAAAATTCATCTTAAGTGTATTCGTTCCAAATTTATCTAAATTTTTTACTTAGATTTCTTTGTTTATTGAATTATCGTACACTGTAAGTGTCGTTAGACCCTGTGAAATCCTTCTAGTTATTTAAGCTATTACCACCACGTGTTACAATAAAACATTTATTATTATTAACTATTACCATCACTTGGTCATACATAACTCAATAAGTTGTTGCGTCAAAATTAAAACATTACAATTTTAATTTTATTATGATAAATTAATTCTTAAAAATGCATATGAAGAACCAAGATCAGCATAATATTATTGGAATTTATTATATTTGTAACCGCAACTGTGAAGGAGCATGTCAGATGTATTTGTATGATTATCCTGAAAAAAAATAGATCGGAATTTGTTTGAATTTTGAGCACTCGAAAAGCCTAGAAATAACTAAAGACGTGGGAATAACTAATAACTTTTTATTTTAATACGTGGGTGGTAAGAGGTTAAATAACTAGATGGATTTCACAGGGTCTAACAACACCTACAGTGTACGATAATTCAATAAACAAAGAAATCTAAATACAAAATTTAGATAAATTCGGAACGAATATACTGAAGATAAATTTTTCGAGACAAAATATTTGAATCTGGTTCGGGCTGAGGCAGTAAAATATTGGGGGTCATGAAGGCTTGCAAAAAATGTAATAAAATTCCTAAGGTCTTATTTAAAAAAATGAAGTTGATGATGGTTCTGGAGAGACGAAACGTTACATATAAAAATTGATTATGCTCTTCGATAGAGGGCAAAAAGTGGCCATGAGAAAGTGATCTTTTTTCAATATCATCTCAAACAAGGCTGAAATTAAACAAAAATGGATTTCCAAAATTTCGTTTTTTTTTTTTTCAAATATTTCGAAAATTAATCATATTAGCCTTGATTTTTTAGAGGCATAATGTTGGTTCCTTGATTAATCAACTTTGCCCCCCTTTAAGATAGTTAGTATCTCTTACTGTTTTTGAGATCCCTGTAGTGAGAAGCGAATTTGTAACAGCCTGTATATTCTTTTGTTTCCAATAGATATTTTAAAAATCATACACAATATTATGGTAGATATACAGAATATTTCAAATTCTTTCTATTTCGCAAATCATCTGTTTGATAACCACAGAGAACTAAACGTATTCAATTTCTTACGATTCATTCAATAACCTAAATCAGTAGTTGAATATTTCCCGCACTCAAGAACTCACATCTCTCATGATATTTGCTGGGTAGCTTGACAACTATGGAGAACTAAAAGTATTCGAGTACTTTCAGCAAGTACCCGAGAACAGCAAGTACTTTTGAGAAACGGGTAGTACTCTATTTTTCATTCGAGTTCTTCCATCAACAAAATAATAGTAAAAATGTTTTTATTGAAATATGCTTCGTTTTCGAAAAGCTTGGTGTTTTTTCTATTATAACAGAAAATATTAATGCAAACCTCTGTTATCAGGTAAAATTTCATGAAAATATAAAAAAACCAGTAGTATGCAAGCTTCATTTATGGGATTCCTTCACAAAAATTAATGTTATGCCTTGGAGTAAAGCAGGAATGCCATTTAAAATTTTCAATGGTTTTTAAGTGTTACTACTGTAGTTATCATTTATGAACATTTGAGTATTTTGTTGCAAAGTAGTTTCAGTAAGCACAATCTTTTAGCTAAATTTGTAGTAGGTACTATTAATATTTTTTTAAGATTTAGACTAATTTACTTCTATTCAAATCAAACAAGTTTATTGATTTTTGAGTAAGTTGGTCTAAATCATAAAAAATAACCCATACTTATAGCTGAAAAATTTATAATAGTTGAATTAAATTAGAACATGCCAAAAATATTCAGCTGTCTGTAATTGATTACTGCATTGGAAAATTGAATTATGTTACCAGTATCATGCATATTTTGTAACATCCATGACAAAATGTTGACAATTTGAAATATGACTTTATTTCTGATTTATGAATATTAATTTTTTTTTAAAGGGGTCCGAAGATGAAATCCGCTTACCAATGGCTTTATATATTTACAAGAACTTCTATTTAATGATTGAACGCCACATTAGCACCCTTCATGTCGAACCTAAAAAACTTGTAAACGGTTTTTTGAGACGTGCTTGAAAATATTTTATCACCCTGGAAAGTATTTTTCAGTAAAACTATTTGAACTACCTCTAGCTTCCTTGTAGAATACATTGGAAGCATTTGGTCAACTAACTAAACACTCTGTACATGAACATAAAATGACGACAAATTCACATATGAACTGAAAGAAATCTAGAACTTGTAATATTTTCTCCACTTACAAATAAAAAAAGTTCTGTAATAATAAATTTATTGCACTTTGAAATAAAGTGTAAGGAAAACAAAAACAGTAATTTGATAAAAAGAATTTTATTAAATAAATAAAAATATTTTAAACATACGGGTTCCAATTGCTTCCATCTTCAGGAGTTAAATTGTTAGTGACAAGTAAAACAATATCAACAATCCACCATATTCCCAATCCTCCTAATGTTAATAATTTGCCAACGGCAGTTCCAGTTTGACCTAAGCAGAATCTATCCATACCTAGGAATCCTAATAAAATGCTATACAATAAAGTAGTGGTGAAATACTGGTCCGAATATTTTATACAAGGAACACCTTCTCTGAAAAATGTTCTATTTCCAAAGCATTCTATTTTATGCAAAACTGTACATAAAACTTTTGTCCTTTCAACATCTTCGTAGCGCATTCCCCCAAATTTTACACATCCATATCCAAGATCTTCTTTAGCAGTTTTATTACCTTTGTGGTCTATAGGTTCTTGGCATTCTATAAATTCCCATGACAGGAAGTTACACTTGACTAAGGGACGCAAGGGATCAAAAATCTCTGTCTTGTTTTCACAGTTGATATAGGTTATATTTACTAGTATGAAAAATACACAGAGGAAAAACATTATTATGCATAATTGATAAAAACTGCTGTTTAAACTAGCACTATTAATAAAAATTAGAAATAACTTCTGTTTTTAATGTATATTAACACTTTTTAAAATTTTCTTATTTACCTACAAAATGGTAAAAATAAAATGTCAAAGTAGAGGTTAGATTAGAAGAAAAGATATTAGTAATAGGGATTGGACACAGTTTTTTTTTCAAAGTAGGATTTACTTAAACTCCGCCTTTATTGAACGCAGTTTGTAAACTGTTTTAAACTGTTTCCATGAAATAAAAAAAAAATTATTCAAGTCAGCTTAGATTAGTTTAGGTAAACTCTAAATATTCATACTTTTATTAAATGTTTTATTTTAAATTTGATATTAAATCGTCTATCCCCGAGAAATTTGTTACCCGCCTCAAAGAGGCGGTGTTTAAGTTACACTATTTGCGAAAAACACTAGAGATGTAGGGTAGACCCACAATAGATGACCTTATAAATTATAAGGTCTATGGGTAGAGGTGACCAGACCACAAACATATAGAGGTTTCTTCGTGAGAAAATCGCTAACACGGTTAATTACAGTTAATTATGTTCTAGAATTTTCCCGAGAAATGAAGTTAACCCATTAGAGCATATACTACATGGAAGAAGCATGCTTACGGACGGCGACAGTGTTAGTTTCCATTTCCATTTTTTCCATTTCCAGGGTCAAATATATACGATTCCATTTAAAATGTTCAGTTTGACTTCTAAAAGACCTTGAAGGTCATTGTCAAGGTCATGATCAAGGTCACCGTTGGATTGCTCACTCAAAACCCCGCAACTTTTGTCCTAAAATCATTTTTTTGTTTGAGCAGTATTTTCTGTTTCCAAACTTTTTGAACACCCGGTATGTATAAAATAATAACTTTAGTAAATTGACATTCAATGAGTAAGTGCCGATAAAAGATTTTCAGGAAATAACGTCATCGTTTTGTAAAATAATTTTATGTTCAAACAATAATAGATGAGGGTGCTGTTCAATCGGCTAAACGTCTATTTCTACGACTAATTGTAAGATAGATAGTTCAAATAAAATTTTGTTGGAAAATGCTTCATTTCCCAGAATGTTCCCAAGGATGTTCATATCGAAAAGAACTGTTTTCAGGTATTCCACGGAAACACGTTAATCAATTTTTTCTAGTACAATTTCCTATAAATATAAAGAAGCGGCGCACTATGGGCGATTTTGATTTTTTTTTTGTTCAAAATCGTAAATCTCGGAGACAAAGTGAGCTATCAATGCGTATTTTTTTTAAACTAAAGCTAAGCGTTTGTAAATTTGAGGAAAAATAATAAGAGGAAGGGGTGGGAAAATCGAAACTTTTTATTTCGACGTTATTTTCCAAAAAAATGGTACATAAGAGTGGATTTTGATACCTACCAGTCCCTGGCTGACAAGGCTAAAAAAAATTCCGATTTGTATACAATTAACCCTTATCGAGAGGTTAGGAATTTGGAAAAACGGGGTAAATGTGAAAAAATTAGACTAAAATTTTTAAATACCTTTTACATTGAAAAGTATTCTAATAACTAATTATACCTACGAATTTATTGGACAAATAAGTCTTGTGGTACCACCCCCCTAATAGGGGTGAAAATGAAGGGGGAGGGGGTTGAAATATTGAAATATCATGAAAAACTTCGTATTTGATTTTGATGATCGCTGAATCCGATTTTGATAGACGTTTTTGCACGCACTTACCTTTGATTTAGATTTTTTGACCATACCCCCTTCTTCTTCTTCTTATTCTAGTGGTTGGTCTTAATAAGTCCCATAGCACTGCGGCCTAATTAGGCCTATTGTGCGTCCCACTACTAGTCCTA